AAGAAGAAAGAGTAATAGAATAGATGAAAAGAGTTAAATTTTTCTTAGCTTTAGTTTCGTAGGGTTTCCCTCTGGGACTATGGCCCACGACTCTGGAGGGGGTGGCACTTTCTTGACTCGGGTGTGATGAGTCCATCCTTTTTTGCTGTACAAACAGTAGTCTTAGTGGTTAGCAGCACAAGGTAGGGTCCTTCTCAGGCTGGCTTAAGTTTTTCTTTCTTCCACCTTTCGATGAGACTGTGATCTTCAGGCTGGTGCTGGTTTACCGGAAATTCTAGGGGTGGTACATGTGCTAAAAGACTTTTAGTTTTTGAGAGAAAGGAAATTGGAAGATAAACTAAGTATATAATTTCTAAGAAATTGACCTTTTGCTTTAAATGTGGGGACCTTGGCAGTGGACTTTATAGTCCTTAGTGCCTTTTTACTGAGAAATTTCCTTTAGCACCTATTTTTATTAGTTTTTAGACCAAAGAAAGCTAAACACTATTTTATATTTAATAATGCTTTTTGCATGATTTTTGTACCAGATAAGCTAAATTTTATCTTTATATTAGTGTGTTGTTAATGTTAAACCTAATTTTAATAAAACCTTGTAGACATATTTATCTAATTTTTAATGTTTGACTATAAGGTAAGATTTTATAGACTCTTTTTAACCTTTTATAATTTTTGCTAAAGAGCAGGTTGGTGCTTTAAGAAAAACTTGTTATGCTTTTACTTTAATGTTCAGTTCATAGAAAACTGGATGATACTTCTTTAACTTTAGCTAATATGTTTACACACATAATTTTCTTTACAATTAACAATTTAAAATTTGCTTAAACCTTCAAAGCAATAATTTTTTTAACTTTTTAATGTAGGTAAAAATGTACATTTTTATGCCTCCTTATAATCCTCTTACTAAAGGTATATTTTACTTTTAAATTATACATTTTTTGCATAAATTCTTTTTTTAACACACGCTTTTTATAACCTTTTTTTTTTCTTTTTATGACTTTTGCAGGCAATTTTTCGACATGCCTTAACTTTCTGACTTATTACAAACAGTTCTTTCTTTAAACAACCAGTTAATTTATTTCAGGACAAGAATTTACCATATAACACTTTTTTATATAAATTCTGCCCCCTCCTTTCTTTTCCCCTTTTTTTTTTTTTTTTTGAAGAGGATAATCGTTCTTTTCCAAAGCGAACCCTTTTTTATGTCTGTGGACTAGACTGTCTAAGGCCACAATAATAGAAGTTACTATAATACATGTTACACTGTTAACTTTCAGCAAACTTTACTTTTGTTGAACACCTTGTAAGTTTGGCATTTTAATTATCCTTTGCTATTAATAACGCCTTGTTTTGTCCAAATTAGAATTGATATAGATGGCTTTTTTTTTTTTTTTTTTAATTACCCAGGAGGAACCATCGATTGTCCTGTCCTGAAGGGAGTTCCTCTTAGGTCTGGTCAGACCTTCGTATGGTAATTAAGATTTAGATCTCCTGTTAGGAAACCTGCTGGGTTAAGGGAATTTTCAGTGGTTAATGTTAAATCATATTTCTTTCTCTCTCTCTTTGACTTTGTCTCTCTCTTTGACTTTCCTTTTGCCTCGGTCTCTTTCCCTCTCTCTCTGCCTCTCTCTTTCTTTCTCTCTCTTTTTTCTTTCTCTCTCTCTCTCCTTGACTACCTCTTTGTCTGTCTCTTCCTCTCTGTCTCTTACTCTCTCTTTTTGCCTCTTTTCCTCTCTGTCTCTTTCTTTTCTCTCTGCTGGTCTTTCCTTGCCTCTGTCAGCCGCTTATGCTGCTGTTCTCTCAACCACTGTGTGTTCGGGGCAGGGGGTCTAAAACCAGCTGTAACCAAGTGTCTATGTACAGGATCTGGTCTGGGTGCCCTGACTTACAGGTTGCCTTGTGCCATACCTTTGAAACAGGGGACCTGTCCAGGCTTCTTTCTAATGGCCAACCTACCTCTAATGCTGCCAGTCTATCTTACACAAAGTTTTAAGTTTTTCTGGTGTCATAGTACTCCATAGTCTCCCTTAAATCCTTTTTTTTGAAAATTTTCAACATAGTTCCTAGTGGGGTGGGCTTACTTTGTGCCTCACCCATGTTTACTCGAGACAAAGCACCACGCTCACACCACACACACCACAAAACAAAGAACGGGTAAAAAGGGCACACACACACTTTTGCAGTTTGCACCAAACTAAAATCAAAACTAAAATCAGAGTATCCAGAAACCCAAGCCAGGTCAAAACTAAAACCAAAGTATCAAGCAATCCAAATCAAGTCAAAAAACGAAAACCAAAGTGAGGGTACAGATACACCGTGGGTGATCAGGCCACGCTTCCACTCAAATGGAGTAGGCAAATTCCCAAGACCAATCGTGTCATGCAATTCAAACCAAGCCAAAACCAAAACCAAAGTGCTGATAAAGGCACGCCATGGGTGATCAGGCCACGCTTCCGCTCAAATGGAGTGGGCAAGTTCCCAAAACCAGTCCTGTCAAGCAATTCAAACCAAGTCAAATCCAAAACCAAAACCAAAGTGCCCATAAACGCACACCATGGGTGATCAGGCCACGCTTTCACTCAAACGGAGTGGGCAAGTTTCAAAGACTAGTCTTACCAAGTTTTAGAGGTCCAGATTCCAAGTGCCCGTTCCTTCCCGGTGTTCAGCCACTGTGCTGATCCTCTATGGGGGCCTGCCACACACTGCTCTGGCGAGGTGTCCCACTGGGGCAAATGCCTACCTGGAGCGCTGTCAGGATCCGCCCCACTCGGGCTGGTCGGAGTTCCCGGCAGGGATATTCCACAGGGCAGGCTCAAGCCGCCTAAGGAGCTGCCTCAACCACAGCCAATCACCTCGCTTCCGGGTCAGGGAACCAAGAAATGTAGCAGGATGAGCGGCAGACTAAACTCCTCAGACACCGAGTTAAAGAAGGAAGGGGTTTATTGGTGGTGGTGGAGGGGGCGGGGGCATTGGCAAGACTCCTGTCTCAAGAGCTCCCCGAGTGAGCAATTCCTGTCCCTTTTAAGGGCTCACAACTCTAAGGGGGTGCGCGTGAGAGGGTTGTGATTGATTGAGCAAGCAGGGGGTACGTGACTGGGGGCTGCATGCACCGGTAATTAGATCGGAACAAAACAGGATAGGGATTTTCACAGTGCTTTTCTATACAATGTCTGTAATCTATAGATAACGTAACTGATTAGGTCAGGGATCGATCTTTAACTACCAGGCCCAGGGTGTGGCGCCGAGCTGTCTGCTTGTGGATTTCATTTCTGCCTTTTAGTTTTTACTTCTTCTTTCTTTGGAGGCAGAAATTGGGCATAAGACAATATGAGGGGTGGTCTCCTCCCTCAGCATAATATATAGAATATATAGCATATACTTAATTGATTCTTGATGACAAATGAATGAATAAATAAGAGAGGAGACAGATACATACAGAAGTAATTATGTCAGACAAAGTAAAATAAGTGGTATAATCTACGTATTGTGAGCACCAAGGGAAAGATGCAATTAACTCCCCCTTAGGTGACATTGGTCAAGAAAGGCTTCCGGTAGAAGATAACTTTTGAATTAGTACACACACAGTAGGGAGGGCACTCCAGGCTATAGTAGTAACATCACACAGGTTGTAGCAGTGTTAAGATGCATGCCATGTTTTGGGAATGGTGAGAGTGCGGGGTGATTAGAAGAGCGTGGTGATGGATGGGGCTCAAAAAGAGGAGCAATGGCAAATCACAGAATGCTCCAAATGTCCTAGTAAGATGATTGTGGACCATTGAAGGTTTTAGAATGATAAGATTCAATCTACTAACCAAGGCTTTATTAAGCATCCATTAAGTGCCTATATTGTATTGTAAGGAGGACATCCCTTTACATAATACAGTTTGGATTTGCAGATAACTGTCATTTCCTTTAGCAAGGGTTTCCTGCCCTAAGTCCATAGCACTCTATATTTTCCTTATCATAACATTTATTACAGCGTAATGTAATTGCTTGTTTAGTTTTTACTTTTCTCCACTGGGCTGAGAGCTTACTGAGGGCTGGAACAGTATCTAACCTGTTCATCATTTAATTCCAGTGCCCAGAACAGTCTCTGGCATGTATAATAGTAGGTATTCAGTGAACACATGTTGAATAAACAAATAAATGAACAAGTAAATGAGTCGTATGGTTAGTTTGATGTATCTACAAAATACAGAGGGTCTCTTTATTGAACATTTCTACTGTTAGATGGAGAGAATTTATTTATGAGATTGGGGAGTCTGTGTCTGTTAAAGATAAAAGGTCCTGAGAAAGTACACGTTTCTGTGCATCTGTGCAGTACTGGGAATGTAGTTACAAGTCACGAATTTCTATGTATTTAGTGTTAGGATTTCTCCAGGATCCTTTTTTTTTTTTTTTTTTTTTTGAGACAGGATCTTAGTCTGTCACCCGGGCTGGAGTGCAGTGGCACAATCATGGCTCACTGTAGCCTCAGACTCCGTCTGGGATTCTTTAAGTCACAGGGTGGGCAGAGGAGACTTTAGTGGATATGTGTTTATCTCTAAGATGGTGAGATGATGTCATGAGAACAAGATTTGCAGTCTTTCAGGAAGTTATTTTTTGAGGATAGATTTTTTTGGCAAGTTACAAGGGACAATTCAATTGGACTAATGTAACTTTGAAGTATGGTGCATCAATGCAATCGTGACCTAAGCAAAGTATAGGAGCCCCATAAATATTTGTAGAACCAGTGAATATTTGTTGAATGCCTATGTTAATGTATTGTGGCAGATTGTATTTTGCAGGATGGTCTCATCCACCTATTTATTGCATCATTTTGGCCATTGGAGAGGTACAGTCTCTGTTCTTTCATCTTGAAACTGAGTGAATCTTTGTAACTGCCTTCACCAGTAAAATACAGTAGAAATGAAGCTATGTGAATTCTGGCTAGGTTAGAAAAGATGACAATAAGGCTTCTCTCTCTCTCTTTCTCTCTCTCTCTCTCTCTTCCTCTCTTTCAGAAGGATCATTTGTTGAACTCAGTCACTGTGCTGTGAAAAAAGCCAACATTTCCAATGAAGAGACCACATGGAGAAACATGTAGAGAGGAACCAAGGCCCCTAGCTGATAGCCAGCATTAGCCATCAAGCATGTGAATGAATGAACCTTCAGATGATTCCTGCTCTCTGTCATTGAGTCTTCCATTTGTGACCCCAGACATGGTAGAGGAGATACAAACCATCTTCACCATGCCTGTTTGGATTCCTGAGTCACAGAAGTTGTGAAAGATAAGTGATTATTGTTGCTTTAAGTCACTATGTTTTGTGGTAATTTGTTACTCAGTGATAGATAATGAATACACTTGTACTTGATAGACTGGAGCAGTGACTTGTAATGTATATATTTTTAAATCATAGATTCATTAGAAAATTTGATGAAAACTGAAGTGACCTCCATGACCCCCACATTCTGGTGTTCATACCCATGTATAATCTCCTTCTCTTAGGTGTGGGCAGGACATTTGGCTTGCTTATAACCAATAGAATATGGCAAAGGCTTTGAGCTGTCACTTCAGTGATTATGTTAGCTTATATAAGACTTTCTCTTGCTAGCAGACTCACTCTAGGGTCTTGCTTTCCTGGTTTGTTTTGATGAACCAAGCTGCCATGAATCTTACAACCACAAGGAAATGAATTCTGCCAACACCCAGAGTAAACTTGTAAGCAGACCCCAGTTGACCCTGAAGATGAGAACAGAGGCCTAGCTCACACCTTGATGGCAACGTCACAGAGAACATTGCTAAGCCATGCATAGACTTACTGACCCACATCAACCAACTGTGAGATAATAAATGTATGTGTTGTTTTAAGCCATTACATTCATGCTAATTTGTTATACAGCATAGAAAACTAACACAAAAGTGATGGATCCTCTCCAAGAAAAATGTAGAGACTTACATATACCTAGAAATCTTATGCAATATTTTTGGATGTTGATGGACCCCTGATTTCCATGAATGGTGCCTAGTTTAAGAACCACTGCTCTAGAATGTTTGTCCTGCAGTAACATGCAGAAGAGTGCAATGCCTAGAAAATTTCCTTTGTGATGTTTTGTATTAAATATTTTATTTACCTGCTTAATTGTTCAATATCTTATCACTGAATATTTTCCACTTGAAAATTGAATTTCTCTTCTGCATCTTTTGAGGTAGATCATTGGAAGAGCATCATATTATTTTTCCAGTCATAGAAGTAATCCACTCTCAGTCACTTTCCCCACCTCCCACTCCTCTCTTTCAGGAGAAAAAACTAGGTGGAAGATCAGCAGACATCAGTAAACAGTAGACAAACAGGAACAGTAGATAGAGTGATGCTAGTGAGTTAATTATTGCATGGATACTAATGAATACAATTCAGTAAATGGTTTACATTTTTTTCTATTTTTCTTTGGAAAGTTAAACTTAAGATACAACAGTTATTTCTTTTGATCATAATTGAAATGCAATGCAAATGAAAATCTTTCTTCCAACCTCACTGTTAAAGCAAGTGTTTTCTTTACTGTCTTTTTTCATTAACAATTGCTGTGCTCTAATAAAATTAGAGGATATAGAAAATAGTACTCATTATGAATTCTTTAACACTGGCATGCAAACATCCTCATTAAAGCCAGTGATCTATGTTTTGTTGCTTGGATAAATGTCTGTATTCTTGTCTTTTATTCTTACAATCCATTTCTTTGCTGAAGAAGCACAATAAAGCTCGGACAGCGTCAACTCCCATTTTTGATGAGACTTAAAGAAAGGACACATTTCTCTCTAAGGGCCAAATGGGATTGTAATGGGAGCTCCAAAGTAGATAGAGGCATAGTACATAATGACTTTCTGCCTTCACATACCCTTCATTTATTTTGTGAACATTAACTCAGGGAAGGTGACAAGCAAGTATCTATATGGCTCCCTGGAACCAGCTTCCGCACTAGGAATATCTGACTTGTGGAGATATCCATGTCTGCCCCACACAGAGGGAAGGCAACTTGCATCTCAGCAAAGTGTGGATGGCATAGAAGAGTTCACTTGCTTGCTTGGTAAATGACAGTGACACAAGTCGCATGCAGGCATGCCAACTGACTTAATCTTTCTCTACCTTCCCAATCACAATTTGGCTTTGCCTATTTATTTTTGTAGATACCATTAAAAGGAATACCATAGCTGATGTTATATCAGACCCAATTACCCTAGTGAACTGCTTCTATTTTTTTTTTTCTTTCATGCTGTGGCATTTCCTTTTCCCTGAAAACACTCTTTCACTCAGTCTAGCAATTAACTGCTTGAACAGTATAATAAGGAAGCAATTAAGAGGTGACAGAGAAAAATTAACACTCCATTTCACATTAAAGACCAAGTGAGTATCCTTGCCATTGTGAGTTAAATGTGTCTTTGAAAACCTGTAGTTTGGATGTATTTTCCTTTTGAATAAGGAGCCCAGCTCCATGTTTTTTGTCTAGCATCCCAATCTGAAAATGGATGATAACTAATTGGGTGCTGTCTGCTTAAACAGGCTATATTAATTGCAGTTTGTTCTCCTGTAAGTGTCAAGGAAAACAAAATCTTTGTAATGTGTAGGCATAATGTACGGCTGCCTTCATTTGAATATTCAGGCCATGTCCTAGTGCAAATAAAGCAAACTCCTAGATGCAATGTTGCCATGGCAGGCAACATTTGCATAATAAATAACAGCTATCATGAGACTTTCTTTATGAAGTTCTCTGTTGTGTTGTCAGCTGTAAGGACCTCTACTAAAGCAGCCAATATTGAGGAAGTAGAGTGTGTTTTGCTTGCAAATGCAACACCCCAACCCAAGTCACTGTCAAGAATACATTATTTTAGTGTTGCTGGCTAAATGGGATGGATTGTGTTAAGTACGTACATGGAATACATGGTGAACTATATCAACACACATCCACAGGATGACAAGAATATGACTTAACCCCAAGACATTTGGTTGGATTAAGTCAGGAACATATCAGTAGCTTACTCTCTGTGCCACGGTCTTTCAGCACAATAGTGGTATGTGCGATCTCATCCTCTGTCACTTAAGCCTGGGTCACACGAGTTAGAAAATTCCTCTTATTTCTGGCTGTAGGGATTGGAATCTCATTTATAGTGGAGGTGGTTTTCAAAAGCTTTATCCTGTGAGGTTTATTCTCACAGTATCTTAAGGCTACTAGAACTTTTCTGATGATTATTTGGAGGCTTTCTTGAGGGCACCAGGTGAATTTACTTTTAGTTAGTATTAGCACAGGAGGCTGGCAAAAAAGTCAGGTTATTTTCACATTGACTGTTATTTTTTTCTTTCCTTTCCCACTTTCAGAAACCCTTCTTCACTGCGTATTCTCTGGGTCTCAGAAGGATGGAAGTTTAATTGTGTGTAGGTGTGTGTGTGTATGATTCCCAATCTTTAACTGCCGTTCATGGAATGAGATTAATAAGAGCCTTGACTTGCATGAATTTACACATCCTACATATTTCTTTGGCCCAGATGAGATGCTCTAGTTTTATTCCTGATGGGGTTAAGAACATTCTCCCCAAAATATGACATCTTGGCATTTTGAATATTTTAAGCTGAAGGAATTTGAGAAATGGCAGGTGCAATTAGGACTCTGACCTTCCCCTGAAGTAGGTCAGAAGACCCTCACGTGATAAGTGCCCTTCTTATACCCGGAGGAAAGGAACATATTTTTCTCCCAAGACAGAGGGAAACAGAAGAATTTGCATGAACAGGCCTTGTTAAGTTTTCCTAAGTTTAGTACTCTTAGCTCATACGTCTTTCTGTTGGATCACATTTTTCCATGACTCTATACTCTTCATCAAACCCAGCATAAAAATGCTCAAGTTTAACTTTTTCCTTAGGTCTTCATTTCCCTATGAAAGTTCTTAATTAGGTAAAATTTATATTAAACATAATTGTGTGCCTTTCTCTTGTTACTCAGCCTTTTGTTACAGCGACCCAGCCAAGAACCAAAAAGAATGGGATTGGATTTTTCTTCCCCTACGTTCCCATGGAAAGAAATCACAGCCACCACCATCACTTTTGCTACTACTTATTGTGCACCTACTAGGCACCTGACACTGTGTTTAAATGATTTTGTGTACCTTATCTCATTTACCTTTACAATTCTCATAGTTTTTATTTTAAGCCTGAGAAAACTGAGGTTCAAGGTCCTTCAGTAACTTAGTAAGGGTTGGAAAGCTTGGCGGAGCCAGGATTTGAATGTTGTGCTATTTCACTGCAAATCTTGTGCTCTTTTTCACCACACTTAGTGCCCATGCCCCAAGGGTAGGATTTTAAGAACCGAGCATTAATGAAACTGTCTTTAAACAATGCTATTTTAATGACTGCAAGAAGCACCGTACGTTTTTTTCGCTCAAGCCAGTGAAAACAGCAATATTCATGACTATAAAAGAAAGGTGCAACAAATCTGGAGCTGATTCTCACCTCTTTATAGCCTGACTTATGAGGGCAAATAAGTTAGAAAGAACCCTGCTCTAGATGGAGGCATAATAGGTTGTCTTTTATTTCCTCCAGAAAAGAGAAAAAAACAACAGCAAAACTTCAACAACTCCTTTTCAACTTTTAAGAGCTCAGAAAGGTAGTCTAAGCTATTAACGATTATTTATTATCTTTTAAAAAACATTTTATCACCTTAAAATTTCCTTGCTCATATGAGAACTTGCTGTTCAGGTGTCATTATAGAGCAATTTCTTTCGCCAAGTTAGACGTCTTAAAATAATGACTATAATGGAAACTGGGCGTGAGTTGGCTACAGCATTAGCTAAAGATCACCATTAGAATATGCTGTATTATAGAAAATAAGCACTTGGGCACTTCAGCTTTTAAAATTAAATCCTTAAAAGCAACGTGTCTGTGGCAAATGCAGTAATAATAATAATTGTGGAGAGAGTGGTGAAAATGGCAAAAGTGACCAAGCGTTTGGAGAACCTGAAAAGGTTAAGTAGTTAAGATCTGTCCATCTTCCAGAAGGATTTAGGTATGAAAAATAATTTCCTGCAGCTTAGTTTTCTTTACCTTCTTTGTAGTTCTCATTATTTCTGATCTGCTGTCTTGTAAACCATGGGTTGGGAGGCAAGGTTTTACTTCTTTTTGATATTTCTCTTAAATGAACGTGTCCTTCAAGTTACATCATTGCCTATTAATCAAGTCATTCTTGGATTATTCGAGTTTCTCTACTCTGCCCATTGATGGAGTTATATTACCAAAGAGCCTGACTATTCTTTTACTCTTGAAAGTAAATCTTTGCAAAAATAAAATCACTATTCTTTTTTCATTGCTCTGACAACAGGTCAGTTTTTTGTTTTTTGTTTTTTTTTTGGTGTGAAGCAGTAACAAATTCACTTAATTATTAGTATGTACCTGTGCTCTTTTACCGTTAGTGGACTGCGAAGCATTTTCTCAAGTCTACATAATGCCTACATTCTGGGCTCTCTCACAACCACGTCTCAATAAATTCTTCAAAAAAGTAATTACAGTAGTACTCATTTGGTACCACTGCTACCTTATAAGGAACTTGCACAGAGAAGTTCTTCATCTGTTCACCAAGAGGATAAGTGGAAATAGGGATGATGAAAGAGAAAGCTTATGTAACATATTTCAAGTAACCTCACTCATGTCAGAGACCCAAGTGCTGTGTGTATATGGATCTTTAAAAGTATGTACATAATTACTTTCCTTCAGCAAGCATGGGAATTGTGCAAAATTTTCAAAGGAGAGAAAGGCCAGGATTCTGTGACAAGGTTGCCTCCATGAATTCCAAAAGATGGGAGCTGATGGGACATGACTCTTTGTGTATCCTAATGCTCTCTAAATGGGAGAGACTTTCTTTTTGGTATTTTTTCCTGTTTACTCTCCAATCTGCTGCTCATGGCAATACAGACAGCTCCCGAGTCTCTCAGTCCTTTTCACCTTCTCTGCCTGACTCTGGAGATACCGGGCTTTCTAAAGTTCATCACATCCATCACCCCAGAAAAAGAAACAATAGGTTCTCCAAGAAATTCTGTCCACCACCATCTCTAAATGTTTCTTAATTTGTCAAAAACATTGCAGCCAATGCACTAAGGCAATCATTTACCAAGGCATTTTCTGCTAAACAGGTCCATTGCTGCTACCTAAGACATAAAAACAGAGTTCCCAAACATTTCCGGAATGAAGTTCTCTTTTTAGAAATGTCAGGTGATCTGGAGATCGATAAAGTACAAAACAACTAAACACAACCATAAATCAAGAGTGTTTTTAGCTGGAATTTTGTTTTATGACTTGCAAAGGGATAGACATTGATTTGAGAAATGAAAAACGTGGCAAATAGCGATGCATATGTCTGTGAGACACATTATATATATGTCTGCATATTAACGCATGATGAGTATTTCTTCCAAAGTCCCTGGTTCTTAGACTCAGGATCAGTAGATTAAAGGAGTTTTCCTCTTTAGTAGAAAACTGGGAGGCGCTCTTATCCTTTTGTTCTCCTGAATGCCACTCACCTCTAGTGGTCAATATCCCTTGTATCTCTACAGCCGTTTACAGAAAAAAAACTGTACTTCAGGGCATGGTGACCGTTGTCAAACCCAAATGTAATATAGATGGATACATTTGTAATTTATCAATCTGTGATATTAGAGTCCAATTTTCTATGGCTGGATTTTAAAAAAATTGACTTCTCGATTTCTATTTTCCTCAGCTGTGAGTAGAAAGAAGAAGTCAGATCCTTTCTACTGACTTTCTCCATAGTCATCTACCTGCCTTACTTACTTAACCCACCTCCCTCTGTACCCTGCATCGCGCACCCATGCTGGTAACTTTCTTTCCTAAATCCCACACTCTTTAGCTTGTGCCCAGCCTGTGACGAGTTCCATGACCTTTTTTACCCCATGACTTTCCAGACAGAGCT